GAATAAGGATAAATAATTAGCCGAAGGATAAATAATTAACCGATAGATAAATAATTAGCCAATAAAATTATATTTATAGTTTAGTTTAGTGTAACGAGATAGTCATATGATAATAGATCTTCAAATTTTATTAGAAATATTAGAAATATTTTTTCTAAAAATGTATAAATACAAGTGGATTTCGATAGGAAATTCGGCAGTCAATTTTTGGCTCAAATAAAATAATATTAAAATATTAATTATTAAAAAGTTATTCAATATGAATATGCTCATTGTACACTTGAGAATTAATTAATATTATATTATTAAGTTCGAGATTTTAAAATAATATTTGGTAAGAAAATAATGTTTTTTGTAATTTTTGTAACTAATTCTTATTTTAAACCAAACATAGATAATATTCGAACTCAACACGTCGGTGGCAACATATGGTATTTTATTTTATTTTAATATCCTATGGGTGGCGTGTCACAGCGCCTTTACATAGAAAAAAAAAAAAATAATAACATTTTTTAATATAAAAGTTACTTATTTTTTTATGTAAAATTGCATATTTATAAACCTATATAAAGAATATAATAATTCATAATTTTATTTTGAAGAATAAATAGAAATTACATAATTTTACATAAAAATGTATGTATAAAATTTTGTAAAAATGAGTATAATTTTTAAAATTATTATGCAATATTTTACATATTTTTAACTAGTTATTAATTTATAAAATTATTCTTACCAGCTGATATATCTGTTTACAAAATATGCATTATTATGGTTAAATCATTGAACAATATGTACAGTTTTTATCAGTACTTCAATTAGCACAATATAAAATTCATTAATAAATTTAATATATAGACATCCAAATCTTAAAAACTTGCTTTCAGTTTGGTATTTATAATCATACAAACAATAAACTTTTTCTCACCAAACCAAATTTTTTGATATATATTTCCCATATACTAAAGACACATTTTCGCCTTAGGGCATTGCTGAAAGACCTTTTACACTTCCTCTATACACGTTGTAGCCATAGATACTGAAGTAATCGCATAATATGGAGGAATAATATGGAATAAAAGATCAAACAATAGAAAGTCACATGATTGGATAAAATTAACCGGAAAGGATAAACTTTTAGGAGAAGAAATGATCTACATGATGTAATGTTTATTAAATGATTAACGGAAAACCAATAGATCAAGTAGGGAGTTGATCGATGTGGCTTAACAACCAGTTTATCAAGTTCAACAATAAGAACAATTAGGAGGAGTAATTATAAGCCACAAATGATAAATCATATAAAAAGGAAGGATAGCGAATTAAAGGAACAAAAAAATAAAAATATGTAAAATATTGATGAACTGCAGCCGCAGTAGAAGAATAGCTGACGAGATGCAGTAGAAAAGATAGCACAGCCACAAAAGATGGATCTTTA